ATTAGCAAGATAAAGATGCAAGGATTTTTGTTTCCATCTTAATAGAAATCAGAATAACTCAATTAATGGAAAAGTATTCTGAACTAATGCAACTGATAACTATATTTCTAATTAACTAAGAATAGAACTTTATGGTTTGCATATAACTTCATGCATTATTAAAAGACAATATGTACATTTAAAATTTAAGCAAAAGAGCAATCATACGCATATATGTTGCTCATGAAGAAAATTCTGGAAAACTCGTACAACAAGACATTTCAGTGACTGAGAATCAAACTGGAGCTGAATTACCATTGTTTCATGGCTTTAGCCATTCAACTCCTGATGAAGCTAAAAAAGAGATCTGAGTTCCATCTACATACATCTTTTCCTGAAGACTAGAGCTAATTTGTGTTTGTAATTTGTTAAATTTTATGGATAAATATAGGTTTAGTATCCAGTTTACAAAAAAAGAAAGAAAGAAAAGTTTATAATGACAAATCGAAGAGAAGCTTTTCACAAATTCTTTCAAAATGTGTAAACAATTCCTTTAAAATTAATACCACTAGTATAGAATTTGTATAATTTTAAAGCCAATATGTTTCACGACATTTATTATCAGCTAATGCAGTTTATAAGTTAACCATGACTTGTGCCAGATTATTTTGGTACAATATTATAACGATATTCTGTATGATTTTTTTTTTCCAATTTTCAGTTCATAATTTTTTTCTAATAACATATTAAATTTTAATTTTGGTTCAGGAATTACATTGATATGTATCAGATTTAAAGGACTTACAGCTGTCCTTGGTTTCAAATTCATTTTTGAATAGAAATCTATGCCTATCTTATAAAACAAGAAACCAAGCGCAAGAGAAACAATTATTCATCATTTAACCACTGTTCATCTAAATTTTTGCATTGAAATATACAAGGAAATATTTTCTTGCTTTTAGTACAGTTAAACTGTGAAGTGCAGTATGTCTGTACTTAAGCTAATGTTCAGTATAAAATGCTAAAACAAAATACACATAAATGTTAGTTTTAATTTTTGGATATCATAACCTGTGTAAACAAAAATAAAATCTGAAGTCAGTGGATATTTTAAAAGTTTATAATATAAACAGAGATTCTTCAAAAAAATATGGTTCTGAAATAAATTCAGAGTGCTAAAATAATTGAAACGTACATTGTTTGCTTAATCGGAAAGCAAACTTTGTTATTCTTATAAGTGTAACTGAAATCGAAAGATTTACTGTAACAAAAATTGATTAACCAGAGCTTATGCCAAGTATAATTTCTCTTTCACAGACATTCAGAGTGATAAAATAATTGAAACTTACACTGTTTGCTTAATCAAAAAGCAAACTTTGATATTCTTATTAGTGTAATTGAAATTGAAAGAAGCTTTAATATAACAAAAATTAATTAAACAGAGCTTGTGCCAAATATGATTTCTTTTTCTTGTAAATATGTGGCAAATGATCAAAATTAATTTTCAAGTCAACAAAGAGAAAAGAGAGAGTTTTGGAACCCCTAAGAATATTGAACTTGATCATATTTTCTGGGAATGAGAATGATAAAAAATAAATAAAAAAGAGAGATGTTTGAAAGTTTTTCTCACAAAATTGCAAAAATGTAAAGAAAAAAAAACTTTCTCTGCATTGCTCCAAGAAATGCTTTTCATTTCTGTGTCATCTAAAGATTTTGATGAATCAGAATTTGTTTCTTCTTGGACCAATGCATTTTGAATTAAATTTTCTTTTGTTGGCATTTCTGTTACAGACAAATTTTGTCACATTCACACCATGCCTCTATATCAGGTGTTTCAAACCTAGAAACAAATTCTTTAGTTTTGTTTCTTCTTGTAAAGGTTTTAAATATTTTAGTTAGACCTTGTTCTTCTGTTTTAACACTGCCAAATTCTTTATCAAATGAATCTGAATAAAAGTTAACTGAAAATAAAATATTCTGCCATCCTTTCCTAAGAGTTCGATTTGTAACGGAATTCCAAGCATTTGCATGTCTGTAAATAGCATCTTTTATTGAAAATGCCAACTTAAATTTTATCAGGAAACTTTCATCATTCACAAGTCTGTTCATAAAATGTTTCATGTTAATCATTTTTAACTTTTGGATACTTCCTTGATCCATTAGTGGCATCAAAGCAGTTACATTCTGGGGAAGATACATAGTTCTGATGTTGCTGTAGCGTAGTTCAAATTTACAAGGCTGCAGTTATCAATTATCAGTTACAAGTCAACTTGGCTGTCTTTGAGTTTTCTTTTAGATTTCAAATCACTCGTAACAAATGGCACAAAAATGCTTTTGAACCAGTAAAGAATCAAATTTTGTGATGTGCAATAATTTAAATAATTATTTAAATATTATGTGTATTAAATAAATATTTAAATACACATAATTTTAAGAAAATTATTTAAGTTCTTTGCTAGTAGCAAACACAGTTTTTAATAATAATGAAATCTTATTCTATGTAAGATAATTAACAATCAAGGAAATTATATTTTTATAACTTTAGACTGATGACACTTGTTATAATGATCTCTCACATCTAATAGAAAAAGAATGTTTAACCTGTACCTAATATGGCAAAAATTGCTTTAATACCCCATTGGGCTTTCATACAGAATAATCGGTATTTGTGTCGACTGTTGAGTTTACAGAATAGTTTTTCTAATGAATATCTATTGTAATAATATTTCTACTGAGCTTGTCTTAGAAGCAAGATATATATATATATACTTCCAAAATTAGAGAAAAGTTTCTTTAGTCTCTGTGTTCTAAATCAGAACTGTTATCTATTGAAGCAAGATTCTATTGAGCAAGTCAAAAGAAGTGTTCTAATTTTGCAAATTGCACAGCAAAGGTTTGAAATATTTTACTTAATTAAAGCATATTGAATATTTTATTAATTTTATATTTCACTTCATGGACTATACAAAATGTTACATTTTTCTACTTAGTCACTGGGCATCAGCTGTTTCTACAAGTTTTTCGACTTTTTTAGACATTTTTTTTTTTTTTTTTTTTTTTAAGGTTTTACATGAGAACAATATGAAAGTATACAAATCCTTTTGTTCTCCAGATCAAACAGAGGATGCATTTAAGAACATTCAGCAATTTCTCTTATTCAGCTTTCAATTTCCAACAAGTTTCTTCTTGGTTTTCACGTTTGCCTTATATGTATCAAAGGTAGGAACTAGTTTGTTTCCCTCAGAAAGTCTGTCTTGAAAACATTTCATCCCTTAGGCAGATAGCCTTCATGTATAGAACAAGTAACCCAATCTATTCTTTTCAGCCATTGGTTGCTATGCAACTAGTCAACTAATAGTCTGTAAAATTAAGACCAATCCAACGGTTCAGTAGAGTTTAATACAGATAATCATGCATTTGGAGGCACCAGTGAGTGGGTGCCCTGTCTTGTTGAAAAATGAAGTTGTCTTCGTGCAGCCTCGGAAACAACCAGTTTTGTAACATAGCAAGATACTGCTGACCGTTAACCATGTTTCCATTAAAGAAGAATGGGCTGTAAACGGATGATTGGGATATCGCACAAAACACATTAGTTTTGGGCAAATCTTGTACATGTTCAGTGGTTGCAAGTGGGTTTGGTAGGCCCCAAATTCGAACATTCTGTTTGTTTACATGACCACTAACATGAAAAATCACTTCATCACTGAACACAATGCGTTGTGCGAAAGTGTTATCATCAATAATCTCGTTACAAAATGCCATACGTTTGTGTTTGTCATCAGGACCAGAGCCTCTAACAAATGTAACTTGTACAGCTTCATAACCAACTGACGTCTCAAAACACGCCAAATTGTTGTTGTAGGCAGTTCTAACTCCCGACTGGTATGGCGAGTTAGAACTCCCGACTGGTATGGTGATTTTGAAGGACTACGTTGGAAAGCAGTTGAATTCATGCAACATTTTCGTCGGGAGCACTAGGACAGCCAGGACTTTCCTTCGCATACACATCCTGTATTTACAAACTGTCTATACCATCTGCGAATGTTCCACCCATTCAGAGGATCACTTTGGTACCTCAAATTGAAACGTCTTTGCACTGTAATCATGGAATTGCACTTTACAAACTCGAACACAAAATGATTTTGCTGCAAGTAGCTATTTTAAACATGCGACGGCTACAACGCAAAACAGAAGACAACTGACATCTAGCGGCTATTAATATAAACTAGACTATGTATTCGTTTTGCCAATAGCCGAGCCGAGGTAGTTTGGACAAAATAACACTTTGTAATATGTTTATTCTTTTTGAAACACAGTGTATTTTTAATGAATAGTATTTAGTCTTCTTTTTTTTTTTTTTTTTTTTTTTTTTTTTTTTTTTTTTAAGTTACAAACCCTAGTTCTGCAATTTTGGGACTCTAATTTTTCAGTCAGTAAAATGTCAAAGGGATACATTAAGTGTATATTGAAGAAAAATATGGCAGTGTAAAATTATACCATTGATCATAAAACAAACCATAAAAATCATCTTAAATTGATATGGATTTTATTTAAAATTCTGTCTGTTTCGAGGTTAACTGACATAGGTACCTCTTCTTTAGGAAGGAATAAAGGTGCTCTAAATTTTTCTAAGATTTCAATTCTTTTAGTCTTGATGTATTTCAACCTGCTCTTTTTGATGACTTATGCTTGCAAGCAAGGTCATTTAATCCAAAATTGAATGGTGACAATATATGTCAAAGTTGAGAAGGACACCCAAATAATCTCTTAAGTTAGAACAATAAGTTTTATTACAAAAATTTTCAGTGTAATGGAAAGATTAGGACTAAAACCATCACAAAATATAGGAATTGTTCAAAAAATTATATAACACAACCATTATTGATCAGTATTTCTTTTGTATAATCGTAGACCTAAAATACATATTTTGTGTTGTAATAAAGTCTGATAGTAGTACTTTTTCAGAGTTTATTTATCTTTACTCTTTTAAATAATTAAAACATTTAAAATGTTTTTTACAGTTACTTGCATTTTGCTGAATTGGACCATGTCTTAAAAAAAGCTGGACTTGATGATGACATAGACTGGAATTGGTATGATGTTCTTTCACCTGGAGAAGCTCAACGTCTCAGTTTTGTTCGATTATTTTATCATAGACCAAAACTTGCCTTTTTGGATGAAGCAACTAGTGCCTTAGGACTTGATTTAGAGACAAAACTTTACAAAAAATGTACTGAGTTAGGTATAACTTTAGTTAGCATTGGACACCGTACAAGTCTTGTACAATTCCACAATGATATTCTTCATCTTGATGGTGAAGGTGGCTGGACTTTAACTCCAGTAGATGAAATTGACTAAAGATCATATGTATTTGTATTGCATATAAAGTACCTATCACTTATGTTCACTTATCTCCATGTTTTAAAATATATCATACCAAAGATGAATTTTGAAAAGAAATAATAACTATTGAAAAAATATGTTTTCCTTTCATTTATCACCTGTAAAGTGGTCTTTTCAGTTCTGCACATCCGTCAGAAAAAGAAAACTTTAAGTAAAAATGCCTTATTTTCACCATAATTAAAAATTATCTTACATTAATGCCTACATATCTTAATTAATACATGCTATACTTGAAACTATTTTGAATTCTGATTTGAATTCATATAATCAACTTGAATACAAAATTGTTTATAAAAAATATGCTTATTTTTGGCCACAATATTGTAGAAAAATAACTGGTAAGTGTTTAAAATGAATTTTCATAGCTTCCTCAGTGATGTCTGAAACGTTGGCTAGAGCTTGCAGTTCCTCTGAAGCTTCTTCATACAAGCCACATTTTCAAAAACAGTTTTGATTGTGTTTTAAGAGACTGGCTCTTTTGCATTAACTGTAATATGCATAGCCTGTAGCAGAAATATTGACTTAACTTATCTCCTTCAAAGTGTGTGCATTTTTACAAAGATTCACTTCTGTTCATCATTTTCTGAACATCTTATCAATATTTTGAAATTTTTTGTATTACCCAATCTAAAGGCTGAATGTTGTAAGCTGTATTTTCAGAAAGAGATACTAATGTTTTAAAGAAAGAAATGAGAGGGGTGTGTGCTGAATAGTATCTAATTAGTAAAGTTACCTTTCTTTCATTCTTTATTTTGCTCTTTCATTTCAAAGGAAAACACGCAAAGTACTATATCTTTTTTTATTATTATTTTATTTTATTTTATTCCCCTTTTTTGTTCTATAAAAATTGGGCAACTGTGAGGTCTTGATACCTTAGGGGACTCATACACCTTAAACCCCTAATGATCTTCGAATATGTGACTGTTGCAAGAATTGGGATATTTTATTTATTTTAAAAGCAAATACTTCCAACGTTTTACAGATGACTGCATAATATAGCTGCTTTGGAAATTGATAACCAGAAAGTTTGTGTTGCCACAAATATTTTTGTAATTTAATCCTCTTTGTGACAAAATATTTCGCCATGTTTCCACCTTGTGCGCATGATATTTTAAAAATGGCTAATGGTACGTACTTAAAATTGGATGGAATTCTTTATATGGGCACTATTTTCTAACTGAACCAACAATCTGATGAATATTTTAATATCGAAAAATTTTATGGACGAAAACATTACAAATTTTTTTAATAAAATACATTTTATAAACTCAACTCAAAATAAAATAAAAATTTAACATGAAATTTTTAGAATTTTAGGTTCACAGTAGCTTCCAAATGTTATAAAAGCTATATATTAAATATGAAATTAAATTGTGAAACAGAATGTTTTAAACTTGCGTGCAAGTTGGAAACATGATGAAAAATGTTATCACAAAGCGGATTAAATTATAAAAATATTTGTGGCAACACAAACTTTCTGATTACTATTTCAGAAAGCGGCTATGTTGTGTAGCCAGCTGTAAAAAGTTGGTAGTAATTGCTTTTAAAATAGTAAGTTATCTCAATTATTGCAACAGTCACCTATTCGAATATCTTATGGGTTTTAAGGTGTATGAGTCCCCTTAAAAACATGAAGGTTTTCTGCTTTTCTCAGTAACCAATACTGTTTTCTTAATGAATGGATTTATTTTGCATGTTAATAACAGATAACTTTTTTTTTTTTTTTTTTTAAACCAATTGGTGTTTCACTTTTTAATATTAATGCATATTCTGATAATGTTCTGTAACACAGTCCAGTGATATATCTTATGTAGCTTCTATTCACTTAGCAGCCCAGGTAAAACGTCTTTTATCCCGTTATCAGCCACATGATGATCTGCCTCTTCCTTCTCACCATGCAGTTCCCAATGAGCAATGCTATTTCTCTCTTTCTAACTTGTGAGCCATCTGTCAGTTGCCACAAAATTCTTTCCTAGCATTTTAGTAAATTTCACAGCTTTTGTCTTGAAAAGAACTCTAGAAATTGAAACTTTTTTTAGTTTCATTGCTTAAAACCATTTTAGAAAACTAATTTTAGTGTCTCTCGATTTTCCATCTTTTTTTTCATTCCCTTGAGACATTTGCATGTTTTACTACTGCTTCATCAATTGTATTTATTTCTTTATGCATATTGTACAGCACTGTTTGAGAAATTTTCATTAAATCTTTTTGCTTAGGCATTTTTGATATGTTGCAAATTAAACACAGCAAATTTATAAAATGCTTCTTCCAGTAATTTATTTAATTTTAAAGCTCACATTTTCAGCCAGAAGAAAGATTGCACTTTGTTAAGCCAATTTATTACTTCATGATTACAGGCATGACCAATAGTTTGTTTTTCTTCAGCCTATAGTTTTCCCTACATTTCCTGAGCATTTTTTAGAATTCTCTGTGAACATAATGTATTCCAAAGGAAGGATTTTGATTGTGGAAACCTTAAAATATGGGATGCAGAAGTTGCACTTCCACATCCTATTAGCTAATATTCCAGAAGGAACATTCATTTACAATACCTCAAGAGAATGGGTTCCCAACAAGTTTCATTGATATTTGGGGGATCAATGAAATTTTAAAATGGATCAGTGATGATCAAGGACCATTTATGCTCTACCAATTGATTGACATAATCAAGATTCCATCGATTAGAAATTTTTTCAAATTATTTATTGGTATAAAGCTGTACCATGTAGTAAGGTAGAAACCATGTAAAAAGCTATGAGAGAAAAAAACATTAAAATTATTTAATACATTTTGAAATCAGTAATATTTTTTTTTTTTTTTTTTAATATAAAATATTTTATTCAATAAATGCAATATAAAAAAAGTAAAACAAAAACAAGAAAACAGACACAAAGAAAATACAAAGAACTCAAAATCAGGATAGAAAAAACAAGATACAGTTTGAAAACTTTTGAACACGATGATTTAAAAATTATACAGCTTTATGCCAAATATATATAAAAAAAATTATCAATATATCAATTGCAGCTGCAGCATTAAATAAACTTGAAATGCAATTTAGTTTCTGGAAACTTGTATATATTTGTAAATTTAAAAATAATAATATAAAAAATAGTTAAGCATAAATCTAATAAACCATTTAAAAACTTTTGCTCATATTCTTAATCAAAGTTATATTCTTAAGTCTCTAAGTTATTTATCTGAAATTATTTGTATTATGATTATATTGTACACTCTCTATATTAGAAAAAAATATAAGGAATTCAGTTAAGAAAACCTTTTCTATTCCATTCATTTAAAAACAATCCATGTAAGAAAAAGTTTGGGAATCAATGCTCTAGAGAATTGTTTTTGTTAATGTTAAGATAAGAATATTCTGTCTGTCTGAGCTCCTCTGTCGATAAAGAGTTCTGAAAACAATGTCTCACAGGTGTACAGGGATTGGGGATGAAAGAAAAGTTTTAGTCAAACCTTTTTTAAAGAACTACATACTTTAATGATGAATAAGTCATGGTTCCACAGTAAGTTAAATGGTGAACTACAAACAGCTTTGATAGGTACAAGTAGGACATTCAGGTACTGAAGAATCAGTCTTTCTTCAGTCCAAGTTTTATAATGTCAAAGATGAGTTTCATAAACAGTATTTTTTTCTATTGATTAGTACATATATTTGTTTTGGTTTTTCGAAATTTGAATATAATAAGTGGCTGATTTTATTAACCAGTGAGATTAATAAGTGGCAGGTACTGTATTGTATATTACAATGATGTATTTTTATTTTTAATACATGTTATACAAATGTGTTTTATATAATTTCATAATATTGAACTTGGAAGTAATTTTTACAGTATTTTAAAATTTTGAGGAGTTTTTGTATTGAATATACATATAATTATTTTGCTCAATTTTCATCATTGTTATACTTGGAAGCTTTTTGCTAATACTGAATTTCAGTATTACTTTAGTTTTTATTAAATCTTTTTAAATTAGTTATGAAATTCAAGTATTTAATTAGCTCCATAGCCTAGGAATACATTCATATAGTTTTCTTAGTGTAAAAATTTAATTGCAATGTTTAATAGTTCAAAAACACAACATTTCTATAATTTAAAAAATATTTTATATGCTCAGTTTTTATTCTTAAATGCATTTATATCTATTTTACCAACTTGTTACTCAACCATGCACAAGGATAATTGTAACCTGCCATATGATTACATTTCATAAAGAATTTGGGTAAATTGAAAAGTTTTTTAGTCATTCAAATATCTAACACATTATTAACATTCTAAAAGTACAAAAGGGAACAGTGTGATCTATTTATGGATGTTCTCAGAAACATTTCTGTACATTCTAATGCAGAAAGAGATTATTAGACATTTTCAATACTAAATGAGGAGATATTCCACAGGCATTGTCATAAAAATCTGGCAGCTGTAATTGAGAGGAAATCTTATTTACTGAAAGTACTATGTTATTTTCATTTTAAGGTATGTGTGATGTAGGAGTATGCAAGTTTTTTATATGTCAGTATAATTTATGATATATGAGTATGCATGTTTTCCAAGTGCAAGTTCTCTCTTTCATATAAATTTATTTTAATTTTATTATTTATTAAAAAAATGCATAAATAAATAATAAAAAATACAAATACTAAGTGACATGTTTATATTTATTTAATGGCTAAGATCATAGTTCTGTTATAGATCATAGTTCTGTAGTTTTTTTTATAATAATTTTGAAAATTTATTTTTTCATTTTCTAATTTTGTAACCAAATAAGAAACAAACCTTTGTGTTTTTGATAATGAGATAACTTTTTTTGTTGTTGTTGTTGTTGTTTTAATTAATCTCATTTGTCTGACCTAATCAAAACAAGTCTAAGAATTTTACCATGGCCAGGAGTACAAAACTGCATCTGTCACTGGCAAGAAAGAGCTTGGAGTACCATACAGGTGACAAGCTGACTTGGCTCAGTTCTGCCACAATTTTGAAGTATAACATCCCAGAGGATGGGTTTGGGATTCTCCCACCCGTCTTCCCTTACCACGAACATCTCGAAAGAGCTTTTGGCTTGTCGTATATTTTGAATGTC